CCTGCCACAGACTCCCTGCCACAGATTACCTGCCACAGACTCCCTGCCGCAGATTACCTGCCACCCACACCTGCCTCTGCTTCGGGCTGCCGCTGCCACACACAGACACTCACATCGGTTTTTTAATTCGTGTGAGTTCCTGTGTGTTCTGTGGCTCACTTCCCCAGTAGATTGAGCTTTGGCAGGATTAGTGGTTTCAAGGACGTTCGACTGGCTCTTCAGTCTGTTTACGTGTTTGTTTATGTTCACAAACACAGTTATAGGAGATTCACCAGCAGCGGGCTGGAGTTCTTCTCACGGTTGTTTCCTCGTTCTGTCTGCACACACAGACGTTATTACATCTTTTATAGCTAATTACCAACAGATTTAAATAAGGGATCTGAAAATCAACACACTTATTTCAAACTACACATACAGTGTTGTTTCTATCACCTCTGTCAGACATCCAGCTTCTTCTTCTCCACACACACGGGACTAAACGTGCTCCTGCCGCTGCTGAAGCTGAAGCTGACGCCTGTTTTTCACCGCAGCACTTTTACTTTTTGAGAAAACTGGAAAACAATTTCAGTTTTATGAAAACGCCTCTCCCTCTCTCTTCAGAGTTTCCGATGCTATGTTTTTCCGGCCTTATCCGTTAGTCGTCCAGTGAATCAGAGGCCATCACTTTCCACAGAGCATATTTAACCCATGACACCGTGGGGCCTTCCGTCTGAAGTGGTTTAGAGTAGCTGCAGTGCATACATCTTCAGTATGGGCGGCCCGATGGGAGCCGAAGCTCATATCCTGACAGTGCCGGTGCTGATATATGCTGAAGCCACCAAGCTACACAGAAAATGAAATCCCCAACCTTGGCAGCTTTAGTGCGAGGCTCTACTCATTGAGCTCCATGGGAAATTGAGTCGCTAACCCCGGCAGTGGCGGCACTTATAGCTCCACCCAAAGGGCTGCGGAACTGCAGAGATCACACTGTCATTTCCTTCTGTCTCTGTGGAGGTCAACGGGGTCACCCGGGCTAACTCACAGAGTTTATATATATACGGTTGTGTTGTAAGATTCTAAATAAAACTCTGCACCAAACTGCAAATAAAGAGAAAAGATGGAGTCATAAAAACTCAGGCTCCTAATCCCTCGACTGGACCGGAAAGAATTCAGATGTTTTAATCTGCTAGAAATCATAGTATGAGGGGGGAAATATTATATATACATGTAAAAATATAATATATTAAAATACATAAATCATTGATAACTCAAGTTCCACTTGGAAGCTTCTTCCTGAGCTTTCAATCAGATCGTACACAGAAACATTCATCTTGTTTTTACGTCGTGTGGTTTAGTGTGGTCATTTTATTTTTCATGGTAGTTAAGATTATAAAAGTGTCTTGAATCTCTGCTAATGCATTTTTTTGTTGGTTTGTTTTATCTGTATTATTTAAAAGTTCTTCAACTTTACCTCATAAAACTCGACCTGCTGATCTCCTCGTCCGGAGTGTTTTTGTACATCGTTAAATAAATATCCAGCCGTGTGGATTTCTGCTTATTCAGCCTGTCGGTAAATATCTGGCGAATGCAGATGATTCCACCAGCCTCCGTGTGAGAGTGGCTGTTTATCGTGTTCATCTCCTCCCGTCCTGCATCACGGGCGTTTCTGAAGGGAGAGATGAAGAAGGCAGAGGAGAGAGAGGTCTCTGGGTCGTGGGTAAAGTGAAAAATGATCCGCTTACATACTGCTAACATTGCCTGATAAGATTGGGGGCAGATTGGACAGAGCTTTTCGCATTAGAAAGACCAGCTCACCCACTGTAAGATGTAGGCCAGGGCCACTCAGCAGATAGAGTCACTGTCAGGGTGGTGAGAACCAGCGGCGTCACGTCCGGACCTCCTCCCTCCTTGAGGGGGATTTTCTCGCCCCGTGCAGCCGCAGGAATCTCTGTATCAAAGCTCGTCACGGCCGAACTTTCATTAAATTACTTCATTTGCTTGTTTTTACACCGATGCCAGAAGCTGGTGATGAAACAGTAATAAGACATCTCGCTTATCCACAAATCCACAGATTGCCTCAAGGCGTAAAATTAAAGTGGAGGGGGAAAAAAGCAGCTGAGTAAATGTCTATCCTGAAAGTTCTTTATTTCTGCGTTTTTTTTTTTTGTGACACTCATATGCACAGCAGTCGGTTTCTGCGTGTGTTGGATGTTTCCCCTTGAAAGAAGAAACCTCCAGCCGCCTCTGTACTTTACACTCAGCTGGAAAATTGCTACAAAAATATGTAATTGTGGTTTTACTGTCAGAATCCGAAGCGTTCATGGAGCCAGAATGACCTCAGCCCTCCTCGGTTCCCTGATACGTTTAACACAGCAGAACACACACTGCTCAGACATCAAGGATCCACTGTGAAGTTTGTTCATGAAGAGACTCGATGCAAAATCAGTGAAGTATTCTTTTAAGTACAGTTAAGGTTGTAAACAAATACCGTTCTAGTAATTGAGAGTTTATCATTTTAAAATCACAGATCGTTTTATTCACAAGGACCGCAGGTGATCACGTTTCACTTCTGTGCAGCAAAGGGACGCAGACAACAATCATAGATATTAATCATGAAGATGTGCTCAGCTGTTTTTTATGATCTTGCTCACAAACAAACAAACAAACAACAGACGGGGGGGGGGGGGCACACGGGTCGAGATCAGAGATAAGGTTAAAAGAATGAATCATTATCACGAGTTCTCCAATAAACACAACTGAGCAGATAAGGAGGTTTCATGTTGTGACAGTTAGAGGGTGAAGACTTGTGTTGTGTAGTCTGAGAGTGTGTTTTTGTACAGTCTCACCTCCGTCTATGTGTGTGTGTGTGTGTGTGATTGTGTGTGTGCGTGTCATTTCCTGTACGATTATTAGCGTGTGCCCCCTGACTCCATGTGACAAGCGATAAAAGTACGGATACAGCCGCCCTACATAAAGGAAAACAATGTCAGCGATGATCTGGGGATGAAAAGTGACACACTGCTAACGCACACTATTCTTAATAATAACTTTATTTTCTCTCTCTCCCCCCCCCCCCCCC